AAGCTTCACAGACTCTTAGAGTTGGAAGATGACCCAACTCAGTGATCCTTTAGTCCAACCCTGACCTCAGTAGAAATCTCCCCAAGATGTGGTCATTCAGCTTCTACTTGAAGACCTCAAGTGATTGAAGGAAGGAAATAAGGCATTGTGCTAAGCACTGGGGATACAAATATAAACAAAAATAAAGATAATTCTTGCCCTCAAGGAGCTTATATTCTAATGGGGGAAGACAACACACAGAAGAGAACTTGAAAGGTCTGGGATGTGGAGGGAAGAAGAATGAAGGTTCCCAGAGGGGCATAGTTTTAAAGTCTAGAAAGTCAGGAGCAGAGCAAAGAGGGGAATGAAGACTGACCAGCCTCAGTCCTTTCATAAAAGAGGCTCCAGGAGGAACTCACCAATGAGAGAAGAAAAGCTGACCTGGCAAGGGACTAGTGCAGAGTGAAAAGTCTGCAAAGGTGGTTGGATGTTCCAGGGTCAGGAGGCCCCAGGGACTGAGGGAAGTTCTGCTTTAGCCCAGCCCCCACAACTATCAACCATGAGAGAAGGGGCTAATTGGTCTTACACTGCCAACCAATTGATGAGACAGAAGGAAAGACGTGATTTTGAAGACCAGAAAGTCAGGAGCAGAGCCAAGAAGGGAAACTCATTACTTCCTTAGGCAAGCTATTCCATAACTAAGAAGCTTTATCTAGCTCTGTGGGGAACGGATCTGCCAGCCTCACCACCATCAACACTAACCACTAACCGACTGCCTTTAATGGATAAATAAACCAAAATGCCATTGGAATAGCAATACCTCCCAGACTGCTTCCACCACAGCCCCCACAACTATCATCCAGGGAAGAAGGGGGCAGCCACTCCTACCAACTGACCACCAACACCCCCAGGGCAGACAAGCCTGCCTAGTTGAAGCAGCAAAGCACGTAGGGGAGAGACAGAAAATTGTATGTGTCAGGCAGGTCAAACTACTACCACCAGCTCCCCTCAGACTGCCATGGAAACAGCTCAGGGCCTTGGGCCCAAGAGCTTCTCTAATATCAGTGACCTCTGGCCCTGCTTCCAGCTCAGTCAAAGTTATCATCTAAGAACTCAACCCTTGCAGAGATGAGACCTGGCAGCTTCCTCTAAAGGTATAGCCTCTATAAAACTGTTCATACCCTATGATCCAACAATACCACTAGTAGGTCTGTATCCCAAAGAGATCATAAAAAGGGAAAAGGACCCACATGTACAAAAAATATTTATAGCAGCTCTTCTTGTGGTAGCCAAGAATTGGAAATTGAGGGGATGGCCATCAATTGGGAAATGGCTGAACAAGTTGTGGTATATGAATGTAATGGAATACTATTGTGCTATAAGAAATGAGAAGCAGGAGGACTTCAGAAAAACCTAGAAAGACTTACATGAACTGACGCTGAGTGAAGTGAGCAGAACCAGGAGAACATTATACATAGTAACAGCCACATTGTGCGATGACCAACTTTGATAGACTTAGCTCTTCTCAGCAATACAATGATCTAAGACAATTCCAAGACTCATGATGGAAAATGCTATCCACATCCAGAGAAAGAACTATGGAGTCTGAATGCAGATAGAAGCATACCATTTTCTCTCTCTCTCTTTTTCCTTTCTCATGGATTTCCCCTTTTGTTCTGGTTCTTCTTTCACAATATGACCAATGTGGAAATATGTTTAATATGATTGTACATGTATAGCCTACATCAGATTGCTTGCCATCTTGGGAAGAGGAGAAGGGAAAGAGGGAGGGAGAAAAAACTTGTAACTCAAAATCTTATAAAAGTGAATGTTGAAAGCTATCTTTACATGTAATTGGGAAAAAATACTATTAACTGGAAAAAATAAAGGTGTAGCCTCTGCCTCCTCAGCAGCCACAGCTTCCAAAGACCCAGAAATGAAAGTTATTGCCACCAAAATCCTGTTAAATAGTCCCACATCAGAAATGCAGATGGTTTTATCAGTGAAAATGTCACTATAGAAGATGCTTTACCATCTGCTTTGCTGCTTCACCGTGAGTATCATGGGGCCTTTTCATCTGACTTTTAGCTGAAGAAGTGAGATCCTTGAGAACGGGGACCATCTGGCTTTTCTATTTGCATCTCAGGTGCTTACAATAGTGCTTTGCACATTGTAAGCACTTAATAAATGCTTTTTGTTTCATTCATTCATTCATTCATTCATTTACTTATTCTTTCATTTAAAGGGCTTTAAACACTCCAGTGGGAATCCTTAAAAAGCCTTTTTTGAAACTGATAATGCTCTTTACTTGCTAAGACAGAGCACCTGCCAAGCAGGACTTGGACATCCAGAGAAGGCAGCACAACAGTGTATAAACAAACATCTCTTACCTTCCTCAAGGCAGATTAGATTGATCAAGAGTCATTTTTCACTTTTGGAAAATAACAAACCATTATTCACCATGCAAAAACTACTGAGCATAAAGTGAGACAAATGGTTTATTATTAAGAAATTCCTCCCCACCAATCCACCAACCTTCCTCACCACCATCTCCTGGCAGAAGTTAGGGACAGGAACCACTTGAGAATAGGGATTGCTTTATTTTTAAAATTTGTACACCGAGTCCTGAGCATAGTACCTGACACATAGCAGGAACGTAATAAATATTTGCTGATTGGTTGACTCCGACACTGACATACTGTTTCAAAAAACCAAGCTACATGCTTCTAGTGTCCAGAGATTGAAATGTAGTAGGGTTCAGCTGCCTGGTGGAGAAAAGGAGAGGGAAGCAGCTCTGGTACCAGCAAAATGGGATGGGGCAGGGAGAAGAGAAATTTATGGCAGCCTTCTCATCTCTCTGGCTGCCTTAAGAAGGAGTGGGGTTCTTTTCACTGGAGGTCTTCAGACTGAAGCTAAGTGACCATTTGTCAGGTATGTTATAGTAGGGATTCTTTTCTAATTTATAATTTAGACTAGATGGCATTCAGTGGTGTGGTTGAATTGATTTTTTTTCTTTCTAAAATATTCTTATTGATATCTTTTTTTTTTATCACACAGATTTTCCCCCCGTAGCCCTCATCCTCATTCTTTCCCAGAAAGCCATCCCTAATAACAAAGAATTCTTCAAAAAAAAAAAAGAAAAGAAAAAGAGAAAGAAGAAAAAAATTTTCAGCGAAACCCATCAAGACATTGAAGAATAAAAGATGTCATATGCAATGGTGGAATTTACTTTATAATGTTGTTTTGATGGAGGCAGTATGGTACAATAGGAAGAGTACTGGTTCTGGAGTCAGAGTATTTAAGTTCAAATCCTGTGACTGACACTTCATGCCTGTGTAAACTTGGATAAACAGCACTTAATCTCCCTGGGCCTCAGTTTCCTCTTCCCTAAATGAGAGGGTTAAACTTTGAAGTTTGTTTCAGTTAACTCTAGGCCAAGGAACCTTTCTACCTCTAAAGTTCTGTGACTTTGTTGTTCAGTCACATCCAACTCTTTGTGACCCCATTTTGGGGTTTTCTTGGCAGATATTAGAGTGGTTTGCCATTTCCTTCTCCAACTCATTTTACAGATGAGGAAACTGAGGCAAACAGGGCTAAGTGACTTGCCCAGGGTTACAAAGTAAGTGTCTGAGGCCAGATTTGAACTCAGGGAAGATGAGTCTTTCTGACTCTAGGCCCAGGGCTCTATCCACGGTGCCACCTAGTGCTCCATCTGTGATTTTGAGACTCTAAGTCTCTTCTCCTAGAAAGGCTCTCTCCAGGGCTCCCTAATTTTTTTCATCCAAAGTTCTCTGTTCCTCCTGTTTTCTTGGCTCTCGATCCTGTCCTTGGTTCCAGTGAAACTATCTCCTTTGTCTCTCCATTTTCCTGACATCAAAGCTACATCTTTCACCTTTTCCCTAACCAGGCAAGGGGAACACTAGGAGTTTGTTGAACAGAGGAAGCAATAACAGGGTAGAGAGAAGGCCAATAAAGAAGGATGACACAAGGATCTCGGAGTTGAAAGGGAAATGGGATTGAGAGATGAAACCTGAGAATAGAATTGCTCCTGTCTACAGGGAAGGAGCCACAGTGATGGGAGGAGGTAGAGAAAAGGCATTCTGAGAATTTAATCAACCACCATGCATTTATTAAGCACCTAATGTGTTCCAGTCACTAGGCTAGTCACTGGGCACTAGGAACATGAATACAAAGAATGAAACAATTCCTGTTCATGAGAAGCTTAAAGTTTAATGGGGGATTGTACCTGTGTGATTTTGCTGGTGCACAGAACTCCTAGGTAAGTAAGGAAACTTCCTCTGCCCATGAAGATCAGCACATTCTCTGCAAGTTACAGCCTTGTAATTACCTAAAGCACCAAGAGCACTTACATGACTTGCCCAGGGTCCCACAGGCAATAATACGTTTTAGGCAGGACTAGAACCCATGTTTTCCTGGCTTTAAGGCCAGCCCTCTATCTGCTCTGCCTCACTGTTACTCATACATACATATATACAGAAAAATATAAACCAAATAAATTAATTAGGAAGGCAGCAATTGAGGGCATTGGGTAGTTAAATTTGGGAGGGATGGCACTAGCTGTTTGGGGAATCAGGAAACATTTCATATAAAAGGCAATGCTTGAGTTGAATCTTTAAGGAAGAGAGAGCTCACCTTAGATAAATGGCCTTCCTAGCCAAAAGGAAGAGTAATTTTTAAAAATCAAGTTAGATAACACATGTAAAGTGCTTTTCAAACCTTAAAGTGCTATACCAATGTTGGTGATTACTACTGTTATTAATAGCATTATTACAATAAAAAGAAAATAGAGTGGATCTATTTTCCACTCTTGGATTGGATTTATGGAACATAGCCTCTGGGAATGGGTTTTCTATCAACACTAATGGAAAACCATTTTAGTTAAAAAACAAAAGTTTTCTTGGACATTTCACAAACCCCTGTATACTTGAAATGAACTTGACCTCCAGGAAAGGGAAGGCAAGGCAGCCACCTGTACTACAGGAAATAAAGACTTTTCTTACCACATAGTTTATTCTGGAACACTGAAGTCAGAGTTTCAATCTGGCTGAAGTTGGCCACTAGGAAAATGTGGTCTTCATGAGGCTCACTCCCAATGGACTTCAGAGTATTGTGGTCCACCTGACCCACACCCAATGGCAAAAATCAAGATGCCTGAATTCCTTGCCTTTGCTGCCACCTCAGCCACTGGGTCCTGTGGTCTCCCATCCGTCACAATCATAATAATACGGGGCACATTTTCTCTAAGAGGCCGAGCCCCCTCAGCTTCAGAGAAGGCGATGTTCACTGCATACTGGATGGCCAGCCCAGTCATGGTGCCGGTGGCCAAATGCATCATTCTCTTGATGGCTCTCTCCACCTCAGATTTTCTCTTGAAAGTCTTTAGTGAGAATTCATTCTTGACGGTGCTGCCATACTGGATCAGGCCCACCCTGGTGACATCGGGGCCAATGTCCAGGAACTGCAAGATGGTCACAATGAATTCCTTCACCTTTGCAAAATCATAGGGGCTCACACTGCGGGAACTGTCAATGATGAAGACAAGGTCTGCTTGCTTGTTTTCACATGAACTTTCTGTGAGAAAGGAAAAGCACAGATGATTAGGAGTGCACTATGTACAATATGTGGGTTTGTTATCATTAATGGAGATAGATAGATAGATAGATTAAATATAGATATATAAAGATAAAGGGATAGGATAGGATAGATAGATAGAAAAAGAGCATTTAATAAAGACTTACTATCTGCTAGGCAATGTGATAAGCAAAAAGGACAGTTTCTACCCTCATGGAGCTTACATTCTAATGGAGAAACACAACCTATGTAGGTTGCTGTTTGTCCTTTGCTCTTGAAGAGGACCAATGACATCTGGAGGGCAATGTCTTCACTTGCAAGTGATGCACTGATAGATGGGTATTAACATAACTGAATGAAGAAGATCTTTGACAGACAGGCGTACTAAGAGAACAACCAACTAAGTGTCAAGTTCAGACTAATGTGGGGGACTACATAGCAGTGATAGCATCCAGATCTCTCTGAACTCTGACATACAGTGAAGTACTGAAGGATGCAAAAAAAGGAATCCTGTGAAGATAAAGTTTTATTTAAATTGCATTTTCCATTGGGTTGGAACCAATGACTCTATTTTACATAATTATAACTCTTAATAGCTAACTATATAATGTTATAGTTCCTTATACTGTGTGTATATATATATATATAATTATATAATATACTATATTTATATAATGTAATAATATATAAAATATAGTAAAATAATGATAACTTCAAATACGTGGGACTACTTCATGAGATTCATTATTAACACTCATTGGGACCTAGCACTACAGATTGCCTGTGATTCCACATTTGGCTCCCTACACAGCTTCGTCACTATTTCCTAAGCAATGGTGAACATCAAACTGTATGATTGGCTAATGGAGTCATAGATTTGGATCTAGAAGGCAACATGGAGATCATTCAGCCTAACCTCCTCTTTTTACATATGAGGAAACTGGGGCACAAAGATGAAGGAACTTACTTAAGTCACACAGGTAAATGGTCAAGTTGGTACCAGAATCAAGGTTCTCTGCACCAAGCCCAATAAGAAGAGGCCCCATAGCATTAAGAGGCAGGGAAGTGCGGTGGGAAAAGCACCAGATTTATATTCAGAGTTGGCAACTAGACAGTACTGACTAGCTTCATTGATATTTTACCACAGTAGCTGCTTGCCTCTTATTGGCACCATCATGTTGGATTAAAAAAAAAAAGGTTTGATTTTGGTAGCCTTCCTTGAAATCAGAAAATCTGAATTCAAATCTTAGTAGCTATGTGACTTTTGGTAAAATATTCCTCCAATCTGGCCCCCAGTCCTTTATCTCTAAAGGAGAGGCAATATACTCATGCTACCTAAAGAGGCAGTGTGGATATAGTAGAAAGTATGCTGAACTTGCAGTCAGGAAGACCTGAATTCATCTCCTGCCTCTGACACTTACTATGTCTCTAAATTTCAGTTTCTCATCTGTAAAATGGACATAATTGTACCCATGGAACCTACTTCACAGGATTGTGAGTCTAGTATATCAAGTGCCTTGCAAACTTTAAATTTTTATTATTGCCTAAGAGGCAGCATGGTATAGTGGCTATACCATGGCCTTCAGGGTGAGAAAGAGCTGTGTCTGAATCCTCTGACATACTGGCTATGTGACCCTGAGCAAGTCAGTCAACCCCATTTACCTCAGTTTCCTCATCTGTAAAATGCGCTGGAGAAGGAAATGGCAAACCACTCCAGTGTCTTTGCCAAGAAAACCCCCAATGGGGTCAGGAAGAGGGAGACACGACTGAAACGACTGAACAACAAAAAGGTTAGTCTTGCCGACTCGCATTGGCAATGGGAGTTTTTTCATCGGAGATCCCTACACCAATGAAATCACAAATGTTCCTTTCCTTCCCCCTCAAAATTACCTATAACATGGGGTTATCATGAAGACCAAGTGAGAGGATGTATGAAAACAAGTAGTAGCCCAAGGGCAAAGCAAGAGAGATTCCTGTCAGGAGCTGATCACCTTCCTCTTCCCCTCTTCAGTCCACCTACCCCTCACATATTAAAGGGCATCAAGGAGCCCAACAGGGGGGCTTTTTCTTCCCCAACACTGGCTCCCATTGCCCAGCTCCCACCAGGCTTCTTAGACGTATACACTGTCTCCCCACCCTTGCTCATCCCTGTCCCTTCTGGGTAATAACCGGAGCTCCATTCCAGATTTCAGACCCATTGTCTCCTTCATGATAGTCATTAGTCAAGGATCTCTTGCCCTGCCATTGTTCTCCAAGTTTAGGGATGGGGAACCTGCAGCCTCGAGGCCACATGTGGCCCTCCAGGTCCTCAAATGCGGCCCTTTGACTGAATCCAGACTTTGCAGAACAAATCTCCTTAATAAAAAGATCTGTTCTGTAAAACTTGGACTCAGTCAAAAGGCCACACTCAAGGTCCTGGAGGGCCATATATGGCCTCAAGGCCACAGGTTACCCACCCCTGTCCAAGGTCTATCAGGACTTACAACCCAGCCTGGGTCCTGGGTCTTTCCATCTGCCCTAAAGCTGGACTGTCTCTTAATTAGAATGGGAGCTTCTTGAGAGCAGATACTTCCTTTCCTTTCTATTTGTATCCCCAACCGTTACCATCTGTTATGGTAAGTACTTGATGAATGCTTTTCCATTGCATTTGATCTCATTTCAAGCATTTACAGCATTTAACATAGTAAGGCACTATATAAATATGCATTGCTCTGATTATCACCAGCATGGAAGAAATGCTTAAAGAAAACAACACTTTGTGCCTAAGTACAGTCAGTGAAATAACGTTATGCAAGTGTTTGGCAAACTGGGAAGTGCTATATGAAGCATAAGGACAATTCTACCGGGAGCAACAATAATAAACTGAACTGAGGTAGCCAGACCAAGCTTTCAGAGTCAAAGAGAAAAGGAAACTAAATAGAAGAATTGATCTCAGGCTAAGTGAACCTGGCAGTGGCTCATCTGCCTGTCTAGAAGGTTCAAATGTTCTTGACTCCACAACTTTTCTGAGCTCCAGATGAACACAACACAGGGACTGCAGGTAACAACATTGAGGTCCTCCAGGGCACAGACCACACTATCGGAGTTGAAACAAGAGTATGCTCTTTTCTTCCTCTGTGGCATGAGACAAATGAGATTTCTTTCTTTCTTGCTTCCTTTTTCTTCCTTCCTTTCCTTCCTTCCTTCCTTCCTTCCCTCCCAATATTCCTTCCTTTTCAACCTTCCTTCCTTCCTTCCTTCCCAACCTTCCTTCCTTCCTTCCTTCCTTCCTTCCTTCCTTCCTTCCTTCCTTCCTTCCTTCCTTCCTTCCCTCCCAATATTCCTTCCTTCCCAACCTTCCTTCCTTCCTTCATTCCCAACCTTCCTTCCTTCCTTCCTTCCTTCCTTCCTTCCTTCCTTCCTTCCTTCCTTCCTTCCTTCCTTCCTTCCCAACCTTCCTTCCCAACCTTCCTTCCTTCTTTTCTTTCACCAGCACTAGCAGTTTCTACCTTGATCCCCACTGAGGGTATTCTTACAAATATAATGAATTCCACCTTGGTTTTCTACAATAATCTCCATCTTACCCCTCCCAGCTCCGTAGGCCTTCATCTCTATCTCTGTGGGAACGATACAAAATTCAATCCACTCTTTTTGGACACTGATGGGATTGAATAAAAAAAATTTACCTTATGTTCCTAGTTTTGTTACCTGCTTTGCTGGAGATCTCTATGGTCAGCACTTTTCAGAATTGCAAAATCTTCATTCATTTATTCAACAAATAATCATTCAGCTCCCCCTCTGTGCCCAGCACCAAAGAAACATTAGATCTGGCTCCTGCCTTGCAGAAAATTACAATCTATTTGAAGATCTAAGACATAGACATATTAAGGCATTAAGTAATAAGGTTGAGCAGAGATCCAGGTGTCATAGGTGTCTAGACAAGGGGGAGAATAGCATGGGCTGAATAGCAGAAAACCTTGTGGAGGAGGTGGGGCTTGAGTTAAATGTGAAGGATACGTAGAGTCTGGATCAGTAGAGGGGAGAGGGGGAGGACGCACTAGGGAGCATGGGGAGAGAGCGAAGAACAGTGTAAACAAAGGCTTCAGGGCCTAAGTTAGCATAAAATATGCTGGGAACAGGAAGGGGAGTAATGTATAGAGAGCAAAGTGTTTGGATTTGGTATTAGAAAATAAGGTTAGCCATGTAAGTTGAGTCAGGGTAGTAATAAATAACCAAACCTTGGGTTTATATAGTGCTGGGAAGTTTAAAAACTTTTTTTGGTATAGCAGTTTTATTTGGTAGGTGGTACAAGTATCATTTCCCCAATTTTACAGATGAGGAAACTGAGGCACAGAGCGATTACATGGCTTTCCAACGTGTATATATCTAGTAAGCGGCAGAGTCAAGATTCAAATCTAAGTCTTTAGACATCTACTCAGTGCTCTCTCTAAAAGAACCCTAGGTTCTGGACTAAGAGGTTTGGATTATATTCTCTGACACTAGGAACCTGTTGAAAGTTCACAAGCAGGGTAGTGACATAAAAAAAATACTTTAGGGGTGAGATGTTAATCTGGTAGAAATGTGTCATTTCATATTCCATCTACTCTAAATTCATAGCATTATACCAAATGTGCACAGGGTCAATCAATAAGCAATTTATTAAGCACTTATTATGTGTTATGCTGCAAAAACAAGCTTTCAAGGAGCTCACATTCTAATTCAGACATCAAATACCATTGTGGACTTAGCCTTTGCCATGGAGAAGGAGGGCAGGAGCAGCAGGAACTCTCCAACTGGAGGAATTAAAAAAAAACGCCCCCAAAACTAAAGGATGGACCAACTGATCCCCAAAACATAAATCTATAAGCCAACCAAGTGTGGTGAATTGGGGCAATTTGTCTAATTCAACACATGGTTAATTACCTGGTACCAGTTGTTCATCCTTCATTTTCAAAGAGGACCAATGACATCATGGGGTGATATTTTGATGCCCTTCTGAGTTGGATTTAAGTGAGGCAGAG